AGAAATCTATTAATCATCTGCTTAAAGTTCAAAAATCTGGCTATTCACACATCTTTCAGATTGTTTTTGGGCTGGAAGATATTTGCCTTTACACCACATAACCAAGCATAAGAGGCTTGACTTTAAGGCTGAAAACTTTCAATGTGCTTGTAATTAGATGAGTTTGAATCTCAGGATGTGGGCTTGTCTTAGTCGAAAGTCATTTTAGGCTTATTTAGGTTAGGTTAATAGTTTGGCACTTTATTAAGCACAAACAAGTTAGAGTGCTCTAGTCAGGATGTCCGACTAGGGGATACCCTGAACCTTCTTCTACCAACAGCAAATGCAGCTCACGTTAGCGGTCATGTCAATTTTGGTGAGTCTAGCTCTTCAAACCAAAGATATTTGCTCAAAAAAATAAGATTTCGATATCGATTCTTATCGATTGCTTAGAAAAGGGGAAAGTTCTCGATTATCTGAAACCTTCTTGTACTGCGCGGGCACTAGGAGGACCTACATTCCAAATTTCAAGTCTCTAGCTCTTATAGGTTCTGAGATCAACGCGCTCTTACATACGGTCCGAAGGACAGGCAGACGGACAGACGGACGGACGAACATGTACAGATTGACTTGGCTATGGATGCTGACCAAGAATATATATACTTTCCTTCTCCCTGTTACAAATACATTATACCCTTATAAGCTTACAACAATGTCAATGGGTTCGGGTTATTATAATTATTATATGTCTGTTTTTTAAAAATTTCTTAAGTTTCATTTTCTTGGGCAGCTGTTCATATTAATATCATATCTTTTGTTAAGTGTCAGTTCCATTCTTTTCGGCACCTCTTCCTAACCATCCGAATTTTATAGAGTACAATCAAGTCGTGCTACTTTTTCCAACCCGTTTTCAAGGCACTTGGATATAGTTTTCATATGTAATTTACATATTTTTATGGCAAATTGAGTTGTGCGACTTTGACATTGGATCAGCTTTTTAGGCACAGCTCAGGCATTAGGTGACGCCCACCACCGCACACAAACGCCCCCTGGCGGTCAAGAGTGCAAGAATACAAGCTTGTCGTTTTCTTCAATTTTGACACATTTGCACGATTTTCCAGTCCGGAACTTGACGGATTTTTCACACGACACCGCGCACCACGGTCGTCGCCTCATTTTTCAGCGGTTGCCGTCGCTCTTGTTGTTGTTGTTGTAGTTGTTGTTGTTGTTGCTGTTCGTGGTGGTAGTTTTCACCACTTAATGCTGCAACTTTTCACCATTTCTCAGCATTTAGCTGGCGCGCCTCATTTCACAACGAACGCTTTGCCTTTTGCTGGCAGTCAGTCGGTCGTCGCTGCATGCTTCCCATTCTACACTTTACGTGTGAATGTGTGTGAGCCTGTGTGTGTGCCTGTGTGTGTAGTGCAAGTGTATTTGTAGTTGTTAGCTGGCTTGAGCTTTGCGGTCGCTGTTTGTAGGTTTATTAAAGCGCACATTCAGATGCGAGTTGTATGGCCAAAAGAAAGGAAAGAAAAACGTTCAAAAAAATAAGAATAAATGAGAAATGCAAGTGCCACGATTAGGCCATACCCTGTAGACAGTTGTTAAGTATACACTGATATAGAGTTAGTTAGTTATTTTTAGTTCAATTGATAAGATATAAATAAAAAAACTATTTGTAAATACAGTAGTGTCTCGCTTTTTGAAAAACAATTAAATTTGAGATTTAATTTTTTCCATTCACTTTTTTGCAGTATTAATAAATTGTTCATTGTATATATAAATATAAAATAGAATAAATTTTATATTAAAAAAATATTTAGAGGCGAATTTAATAGAGTTCTTTTATTTTGTAATTGTTTATCGATTTGTACTTTTAAAAATATAAAAAAAAAAATGTATAAAGCATAAAGCTCAATTTAATAATGTTGTATCAAATTGTGTTTGGATTTGTTTTTAAAAGCAAAAAATATATTCTGAAATATTTTTCGGAAGTTCTATTAAAGTTCTTAAGTAGTTGACTGAATTTTAAAGAAATTTAATGAACCAAAAAGTTTTGTTTAAAGTCTAATTAGCACTGAAAACCAGGCAAAATACTGAGCTTTTCGTGTTCCTAAAGAATATTGGTAATAGATCCTAGTCTAGTTTTACAGGGTATCAAAAGACAACAACAAATAATCACATTAAAGGTTCATTTGGCTGACGCTTTGTTTGGCTTTGCCTCTTGGCTCTGTCGCGTGGGGTTAAACTGTAACTGAAATACGGCCGTGTTGGCCCAGTTACAAATCGGCAGCGACTTGAACGTTGCTTGGCAGCACTTTTGCCACTTCTCTCTACCTGTCTTTGGCCTCCTCTCTCTCTCTCTCTCGACGGTCTTGTGCGACTTTTAATGCTGTCGTCTTCTGCAAATAAAGTGAAATTATTATGTGCGCCATACAAAGCTGCTTTAGATTGGATTTGGCAGCTACTTCAACGTTGGTGGTCCACTCCCCTCGCCCCGTCCGCTGCTGATGTCTGTTCGCTTCCCGTCAAATTAAAAGCATTTCGATTCGCACATGTCTCTTAACGATCCGTCTTAATTGTTCATTATCGATGCCATTAGAGTCAGTCTGCATCAGCTATTACACATTGCTAAATGGCTTACACTCGAAGGCTCTAAACAGACGTCAATTTCATTTCCCCAACTCACTTCACATCCTCGACATTGTCGCACACGTCATTTATTAGCCTTATGATCGTCCGGCCATAAAAGAGGCCCCAACACTATTGACCCATATAAAGTGCTTGCAACGTATTCGCTGATAGACGCAACAACATCACGTATTATAGGAATTTATTCGCTCGCATACCCTAAGCTCTTAGGTCTATGCAGACAGAGGGGTGGTTTGTTTCGCACGAATCAAGTACTGCATCCAACTGAATGAGGGGCGCAGAACTGAGCTGAGTTAGAGGCCGAGGAAGAAATATAACCACCATAGTGCTTAGTTAATGATGCAACTGAATCCATAAAATCTTAAGATACATCGATACAGTTTATCGTTTATCGTTGCATGACGCTATTCTTGCCCATTTTAAAAATAAGGTTTGGTATCATTCAAAGATATAAGAGCTGGGTACATTAAATTTGGCATATGGACTGTCGTATCGTATACACATAAATTTCATTTTTAAAACTGAAGCCTTTTAATTTTGTATAAGCACACATTTGAATGCCATATTTATGCGTCTAAAATATCATTAAGATCGGTTAACAAAAATAGAAGATATTTAAGGTTATCTTCCCAATAGTGTGAAACAGGCTGAAGAAGCACATAACCGCGCATGAGTTTTGTGTGTTGTGCCTTAATACCTATACTATCTAATCTATAAGAACTTGCATTAGCAGTCTTAGCTTCATATTTTGCTATATTGCTTGCTTAAAAGAAACCAAAGTATTATATTGACTGAGGGGCTTTTGTAGTCGAGCACAGTCGACTAACTACAGCGTTTTTACTTGTTTAAATATGAACAAGAATAGAAAGTTTTATCCACAACTATAATAAAGATGATTCCTGGTATTTCGTATATTCCAGCAGCTTTTTTTTATATACATATTCTTTGTTTTTATCCTGATTATGAAAGTGATTCATTTAGAATATCAGGCGATGCTTCTAAGCATCATCAGGCAGCTTTAATTTTCATTTAACTTCTTATTTATAGGGTATTCCATTGGCACAATCTCTTGTTTTATTCCCAGTTATTTCATTCATTTCCAGTTGTTTATCAATGTTCTAATGCACTTAGCTTAACTAACGTGAGCTCTAGTCCTTCCCCCCACCCGATCTCATGACTCGAAGCTAATAAATGTGTCCATATTTGTTTCATATTGCGTCTCAAACAGACTCTATATAAAAAACACATTCATACAAAATTATGAAAAAAAAAATGAGTCAGTGTGGGGGCAGCAACCTCCAATAAAAAATAAGTTTGGATTTGTTGTTGTTGCTATTTAAATTGATCCGAAGGCGAGCGGGCCAAGTGTCGCTTATAAGTGATTATGGTACCGGTATTGCTCTTGATATTGTTATTTGTGTGTTATTGTTATATCGTAACGTACTATATACATATATATATAAATGTATATCTATTTGAATTGTTGCCCATGGCATTGTTGTCATTATGCGTCATGGCATATTGTTTTGGGGTTTCTGGTCTGCGGTGAGGCTGAAAATGGTAGTCGGCTATGATGACTGACAAATGCGCTACATGTGTAAAGTGTTGGAAGGTGCTGCAGAATTTAAGCTTATATATTTAATTAGTGGTACAGAAAAGAGTTTTACACTAATTTAAAAGTCTGTTACAGACACGAACAATCTAGAAATGCCTATTAATATTATAATAACAAATGTTAAGGATTATCTCTGCTAGAAAAAACAATTTTTATATCTCTGGAAATGCCGCCGATAATTGTCAACAATTACTCATCTTTGTAAATGCATATCTATATAAATATGTGTACATCCAGCAAAAGTTTATGACAACACTTTAATTGTCAACAAATCTAGTTGATAACAACTATGAACAATAGCAAAAAGAATATGTATCAAAAGGCATATCACAATTCGGGGCTTAACTAATTCAATTGACATGGGCACAGTCACTGCCAACAGTATTCGTTAGCCCAATTTTGACGCCTAGTTGACTGATGCCCACGATTCGCGTTGTTATTATGTATTATCATTCCCGTTCCGTGTGTAGCTCCAAACATGGAGACAAAGAGCGCGTCATGTAACTTTTACTTTTTAAGGCATTTAAAAAATAAACAAAAATGTGAATGTCACGTAGCAAACCGATAGACGACAGACACATTAGCAAAGAGGGTGAGAGAGGGAGCGGGCATGTGGGAAATAGACTAGAGGATTGCGCAATAGTAAATATTTGCACTTGGACATCGCCATTATAAATGCGCGTGTCCCATATAAGGTTACCCCATTGGCTTACTAACCAAACATATCTCTCTTTCTCTCTTTCACTCTCACCAGCAATCTGCGCTGTTGTGGAGTACGAGTACGCTGCCAAGGAACCAGATGAACTGGATCTACAAAAGGGTGCCATCATACATCGCATCAAACAGATGCCCGGCGGCTGGTGGCAGGGCACACTGAAGGCCACCGGCGTAACGGGCATGTTTCCGGATAATTTTGTCCGCGTACTGGAGCCAAGCAGCAATGGCAACCACAGCGATGACAGTGCTGTGGTGCAGCTCAGGTTGGTGACGCAATCTGCATAGCAGACAACAGACAAATGACATTAGCTGAAAATTAGTGAGAGAAAATTTAAAAAAGAAATCTTTTTTTCAGTGAAAGCTTTAATAGTTTTCAGATCTACATTTAAAACACACATTTCATCACTTTTCGGTGTTAGTTAATTACAATTTTGACAAACTATTTTTAAATAATTTCATTAATTTATAAATAATATTTTAGCCGACGGCTGTGCTTTTAGAGTGAAATTTAATTTTGCATGAATTCCATATTCTATGTTTTATATTATTTTTTATCTTAATTTTGATTTTAATACCACACTTTTATTAATATAAAAGCTTTAAAAGCACATTATAACTATGTGTGATTAAAAGCTTTCATGGGCATCAAAATAATATTTGTATGTTATATATTTTTTATATATCAAAAGCATAAAGCTAGGTGTACATATTAATATGCTTTTTAAGCACATTGTAACTATTATGGAGCTTTAAATCAAATGTTAGCTTTAACTCAAACTAGGTGCTTTTAAGTAAATGACACATTAACATACGATTTGAAAGCTTTAATAAAGATAAAAACTTTTCTATACAATTATTTTCTTATTTTCTATACAATTGAAAGCTCTGCTAACTTTTAAGCTTAAATAAAGCACATTTTTAAACAGAGTTTTTAGCTAGAACAGAAAATGTTTGATAACATGAAATAAGAATAAAAACTTAAAAGCATTTCATCTTAATCCAAAGTCCAAATGCCTTCTTAATTCCTCTCGCAGCTAGTGTCATTCAGACTAAAAGTAAAATTTGCAATTTCTCTCTTTGCATATGTGTAATATAATTTTTGCACTCTTTGACTCTCTTTTATTTTCATTTGTTTTCTGCTCTCAGGGAGAAATCAGCGACATCGAATCGCCGCTGTAAAGTCATCTACAGTTACACACAAGTCAACGACGACGAACTGACGCTGGCCGTGGGTGATGTCATTGAATTCCTAGGGGAGGTATGTACACACACACACACACACACGCACACACAGACACACACACAAACACACAGTTGTATACCCACAAACCGCATACATTTAGTGCCCACAACCCCCATTTAACCTCTTTGCCAATAAGTTTTGACGCAACCCAATAACACAAACTGAAAGCGAATATTCAATTTTTTTTTTTTGTTGCTTTTTTGTGGCATTTTGCTCGCATTTAGGTCGAGGAAGGCTGGTGGCGCGGACGTTTGCGCAGCAAAGTTGGCGTATTTCCCTCAAATTTTGTGCAACATATCGAACCATCGCCGATTCTGGCCTCCAAGCGGCCCCCAACGATTGGTGCAACGGTCACGACATCGGCGCTAACAGCCAAAGCTGCCAACATAGCGACAACAACAACAGGAGCAGCAGCGGGCGCGACAGCAGCCGCAGCAGCAGTAACTGCAACAGCTGCTCCTGCAGCAGCTGCACCTGCCACCAATACAAGCACAGCGAAGCAGCAATCGAAAAGCAGAGCCACGGCGTCCACTGTGAATGCTGCAGCGGTGGCAGCGGCGGCAGCGGCGGCGGCGCCCACGTTACCACCAAAACCACAGCGCGACTTTTGTCGCGTAGAGTTTCCCTATGCGCCGCAGAATGAGGATGAGCTGGAGTTGGAGGTGGGTGACATTATCAGTGTCATCAGCATGGAGCTGCCGGACAAGGGCTGGTGGAAGGGCGAGCTGCACGGCAAAGTGGGCGTGTTTCCGGATAATTTTGTCAAGCTCTTGGCACCCTCCGAAGGTGAGTGCAGCAGTAACAACAACAACCACAACAACGACAAGAATAATTATGCCATGCCTCATTTGAATTTCTCCATGTGTTTTGATTTGGTCTGTCAACTGCATCTCGCGTCATTTGCCGTCATTAGCTATCAACTGCATCGTCGCATCTTCGTGTTTCGCGTCTAATTGGATCAATTCCCCCCTTTCCCCTCCCAAACGCATTCATATTGAAAATTCAGGCCCGAAACGGCCAGTCGATTGACGTGATGCCAGCCTCTGCGCTGCAATGTGGCATCGTCGCAGCCCGCAGCCCGCCTTATCTAAAATCAATAAATGTTTCGCCTCGCTAATTGAATTAATTAAAAAATTAAAAAAAGTAGAGTGTTGAGTGTCAAATTTAAACACCAATCGGAAGCTTCTTTATCATATTGATAAGATTGTGTGTGACCAAGTCTACCAAGAATTGTATTGAAACACTTAAATTAAGCAAAACTTTTATTGTTTTTTATTAAAATGGTTCTAGTTTCAAAGGTTCTAGTTTCAAAGTTACAAATACTCGACTTATTAAGTAGGGCTGGTAATTACAATTTCTTTAAAATTATTCAGTTTCAAATAATTTTAATATCAAATAGTTAATATTACGGGACTATCTAAATAATCTACTATGAAAATTACTTTTTACCTTTCATAAAACTGATCTTTAATTGCATAAAAAGGATTGTAATCGCTTGATTGTTTAACTACCAAAAGTAATTATTGCATATATCTACATATGCATAGGCATCTTTATCAATGTCTGATAACAATTTGTCATTGGTGCTATATCTTATTTTAATATGTCAAGGCGTATGAAGAGCTTACACTTGTCCACAGGCTATGTTAAGCGGGATATTTAAATAGAACTTTATTTTTGATTTTTTCTGCATACATTTATATATTTTTCTTAATTATATAAACCTGATTTTGGCGACCTTTCCATTTTTAAATGTTTATCATAATACTATGGGTTGTCTTACGTAAAACGTATGAGAACCTTGTACATATATAGACACCTAAAGCTCGTAGCTCTATAAAATTTGGAAACTTCTTAGACTTACAAATAAACAGATGTGTACAATTTTCGGCATTTCTTATCTAAAAAAAAAAGCGGTCAAACTCTGCTGTACGCTTACACACAAATGAATGCAATGCGCCAAAGAGTTTGCAAAACAAGCAACGTGAATACCCCTACCCCAGTTTTTATTCCTAACTTGACCAGGTGATTTTGTTATATATATATATATATATATATATATATATGTTGTTATAATAGAGCTCAAAATCGCAGCCTTATCAACATTGCTGCTGCTATTGATAAGGCATATGCACCCATGCCTAGGGTTTATAGTTTGTAGGTCTTAAGATTGTGCATACATATAGAAACGACATTAGATGTCTATGCACTAATCTATCGATCTAGTGCTTCCGCTTCCCCGCGGCACTCAAATCTTCTTCATCTAAAAACTCTTTCCAGCCCAAATTCGGGCTTTTCTTTGCCCCACTCGAATAATCTCACAACACTTCACATCACTTCAGAGGCACTTCACAAATGCACAGACATTCAATTCACGACGCGATTCATTTCTCAAACATTAAACGAAGCGCATACAACATCAAGTTAACGAATTATACACATATATTTTTTATGTTTATTATTACTTGCATTTTGTTGAACGACATTTATTAGCATTTTGTTTACGTTTCACTATCGCTCTTATGTCTATTTTCTTGCTCTACGAGTAATTCAAGATTTGATACTAATTTTTATTTTTTTATTTATTTTATATTTCTTCTTTTATTGTGTATATACGTACATATATGTATATGACTTGATGTCGCTGTCTCTGTGTAATTTTCCTCTACACTTTTCTCCTTCTTTTTCTTCTACTCCTCTTCTATCTTTTTCGTGTGTAATAAAAAAAACGCCATTGCAACGACAACAACGGCAACAACTACACTCTGCTACACGATACCACTCCACACACTCCAAACACACACACACACACACACACACTTACAATAACTGCACCGACGTTCCGGCAGCGCCTGTGCCCCCTCCACGGCCCCGGGCCCGAACACGCGGCGGTGCGGCAGCGGCAGCGGCAGCGACTGCGGCTCCGGGACCGCAACGCGGCGGCTCTTTCGAGTTCTTGGGCGCTCGTATGGCCAGCTTTATCACGACGATTTGTATGTAAACGAGTTTTTCCAGTGTTTGCGGCGCAGCCTCAAGAGTTTTTCTTTTCGTTTTTGGCCAGTTTTCAGTTTTTAGTTTTCATTTTCCTTTCTCCGTCCCGAGGCCTTTTAGATGTGAAATGGAAAATTGCTTGGCTCTTTTGGCCATGCACATAATTTCTATGATTTATTTTCCATTTTCATTATTGTTATTATTTATCTAGCTTTATCTGGCTTTCTTTGGCTGTGGCGCCGGCAATGCTCTCTAAAAAATTAAGCCCCGTCTCGGAAAATCTCTGCCATAGCTGCTTGGCGTCATTTTCTTTTGCCATTTCGATTGCGGTTTGTCGTGTTTGTTTTCGCTTTTAGTTGTCAATTTGCATGGCTAAACTTGTTTTTTATTTTTCTTTTCTTATTGTTACTTTTTATCTAATTTTTATTTGCTTAACATTTTTTTTGTCTGTTAAGCATTTTGTAGACTTGGCGTTTTAAGCGCGTTTCTGGCGCTGTTTTAAACGCGCAATCGTTGCTAACTTAGTTGCCTAATTAGCTGGGTGTTTGGCATTTTGTTTATAAATATTTAAATATATATTTAACCCGACCCATGTTGCATACTTTGCGGTTGCCCTTCAAATAATAACATTTTTATTATACCAAGTTACCTACACTGATTACTTGATACTTAGCTTTGCTTAGCCTGCACATTTTTTTCGGGTATTTCGCGTAAGCTGAGCGACTTGCAACATTTTTGAATCAGCTATTAGTTTGTACCCTTCATCAGGTTCATAAGTTATGTACTCATACATATATTCTTCTAATTTGTACAGTTAATTTTTTCTCTCGATTTTAAATCCATTGCGAACACTTTGCAACTTACTTAAAATACAACATTTAAACAATTAATCTAGTGTATTTTTTTTAGATAAAAGTTAAAAAATGGATAGAACTTTAATATTTACACAAAAAAAACTCAAATTATATATTCATAATATTTACTGGCTTAATAAACTAACATTTTGCGTTCATTAAATATTTTTCAAGCATAAATGCTGCCAGGTTCTTAATTCTGAATTCGCCTCAGTTTCAGTAAGGTTTTACTTTATTTTATTTATTCGTAAAGAAGTCTCTTGCTACATATATTATCCAGTTAATTGTAGTGTATTCAGCATTCGTTGCGACTACCTGCGATACACGTATATAAATCAAAATTTTTTATATTTTTTCTTTTTGCTTTGCCATTAGCTTTTGTCAACGTCGCAGTTCCAAAAGCAAAAACAACAAGAACGCAAAACCACCTTCGCCAGCAACAACAGCAACAACCACAAAAGCAAAAACAACAGCAAAAGCAGCAACAACTACAACAACAACAAGTACAATAACTCAGGCAGCACAATATTAAAACATCAGTTGTTGTAACTGGTTTTTTCTGCTATGCTTATTGTTTTTGTTGCGGCTTTTGTTCCAAATTGGTGTCGTGCTCTTTGTCTCTCTCTCTCTCTCGCTTTTGATCTTTTCACATGCCTCGCCTGGCTTGCTCTCTTAGCTCATAATCATTGGATATCATAATGATCATAAGCATTGCCTGTTATGAACTTCATTATGGGCGCACATTAGCGGCGATTATCAGATACGAGCCCCACAACAAAACGCGCGCTTCACTTGTTGCCAGCAACAGGCCAGCCGCTGCCCGCTGCCCGCTGCCCGCCCGCCGCCCGCTGCTTTATTGTTTTAGCTTTGCCTTATCAACAATGTTGCCAGAGAGCAGCACTCGCTCCCTTGCTCTCTCGCATTGGAACGCGCTCACTCTGGCTGTGCTTGTTGTACCTTTGCCAGCATTTTTGTTTACCTTTTTGGCTCAGTACGTTTTGATTTCTTGACCATTTACGTTATTGAATTATATTTCTTTTTGGTGCGGCAAGTTTTTTCTTCGTTTTGTTTTGTTTGCTTTGTTTTTTTTTTTTTTGCGCAGCTCTTTCTTGGCTGCTGTTGTTGTTCTTTCTTTTCTTTCGCTTAGCTGGTGCGTGTGCTACAATTACCGTTCTTGCGGGTTTTTTTTCTGCTCATTTGCTACTTTCTGCAATTGCATTTGCCACATGGCCTAAAACCACTGAGTTTAACTAATTGGCAAATGTGCGGCTTGCAAGTTGTCGCTTTGAAAATTAAAGCATATAATTATATACACGTGTGTGTGTGTGTGTGTGTGCGAGTGTGTGTGTGTTTGTGTGAGATTGATGATTAGCCTGTAAAAAGTTAAAATGAAACGCAGTCATCATTAAATCAAAGCAGGCAGCCAAGTTTGTTGCCTAAGTCTTTCGTTTTGCTTGTGTGTGTGTGTGTGTGTGTAAGTGTGAGTGCGCGCTCTTCGTTTAGCCGCTGGCAACAGCAACAACAACAACGAAATCAACACTAACACAATGACAACACTCAATTACTTAATACTTAAAAATAAAATATAAGTAAAAAAAATCACAAATATTAAATTCCGATTCGCGCACAACTTTTTGCTGCTGTTGTTGGTGTTTGTTGCTGTTGCTGCTGCTGTTGTTGTTGTTTGTGTCTGTTTGTCATTTGGTAGCACAGTGAAAGTCGTTGGCGCATTCGTCTTTGCCATTTACAATTATCAACGGCTTTGCGCCAAAGCTGTCTATTCTATGGTTACTTTTTTGTTGCCTCTGTTAGTTGTCCATTTGTTATTGTTGTTGCTCTTGCTGTTGTTGCTTTGTTTTGTTTTGCTTGACCTTTACACATTTAAGCGTTACTCAATCAGCGTTTGCTTTGATTTCTGTTGGCATCATCAACATTTATTGCCGTTTATTTATGTATGCGACTCGCGTTTGCTTATTTTCTATATGTCGCTTTGTAGTAGAGATGAGCGCGTGTCGTGACACGCACGAGAGAATACACAAGAAGCTGGAGTGCAAACAAGTTAATGCATATTTTCAGTGCCAGTGGAATAAGGCGGCAAAAGCCGAGCTTGTAAATATTTTATTTTAAGAGTGGATGGGGAAAAAGGAAAGAAAAAACCAATTAAATTATTTTTGTTTAATAAAAGCTGCAATAGGGCTTACTTTTTTCAGAAATTGAGTTAATTTAAATTGATAATCATTCAAAGTATTTATTATTGAAAGGCACATACCTTTCCTGTTAAATCCACAATTGCTGGCCGATTCTTGGCGAAACAACTAATATACATACAAAAAAATAGAACAAAAAGTATTAGAAACACGTCACAACTATTTAAGAGAGGTCAACTATAGAGGCTTTTTAAATAATATTATATATTATTTTTTTTTTACGAATCTAAAAAAATATATAGACAAATTTTTGTTTAATTTTTTTAGACTGTTTTTAAAATTTTTATTTTTTTAAAAGCCGTAAGATTAGTTAGCATTTACAATGTGTATAAAGTTGAAGTTTTTCTTAAAAGGATTTTTCTTACAAAAACAAAATTATTTGATTAAATATTGCTGCTGGGACAGTTGCCCAAGTTTTAAAAGTTGTTGCAAAAGTAAGGCAACAAAAACTAGAAATTTATCTATTCAAAAAAGTTCTACTGATTTATCTTGTGTATAGTCGTAGTAGTTGCTAATACAAGTTCTTCTTATTCTATGTGTATCAATTTCTGCGTGTCACGCGCCCATCTCTAGCTGGTCATTTGTAGTATGTTGTGTGAATTTGCGTTTGCATGGGCTCCTACGCTAGCGCTTTGTTTGACATCCACGTTAATTTATTGACATTTGGCAACAGTTGAGCAGCGAAACCCGTTTGGCTGTTTGCATTGTCGCTCAGCTGTTGTGGTAGTCGTTTGGCTGTTGCCATTCTGAGCGTTAGTCACGCCGAAGCTCGTATCGACGTGCTCATCTTTAATAATAAACACAGCTCAAGTTAACTCGTCTGGACTGGACGCGTCTTGAAGTGGCGCTGATTGATGTGGTTGGGTGGCCAAAAATGCAGCCCACATTCAGCGATGAGAACAGAAACTTCTTTGTCTAAAATGATCTTCACTCTTTTCTGCCCTTTTGCAGTCGCGCCCATTAACGAGCCATCAGCAGTCGCCACCACGCAGCAATCACAGCGCAAGATAAGCAACACGAGCCACATGACCACAACCAACTCCAACAACAGCAGCAGCAGCAACACAGCCACCACGACGGTGACGCAGCAGCAACAGCAGCTGCAGCAGCAGCAGCAGCAACATCAGCAGAGCAGCGCTTCAACCACATCGAAGGTATACATCAAGAAGACGGGCAGCAGCAGCAATTCGTCTGGTTCGGGACGTAAGGAGAGCTTCGGATCGCGCGATTCGCTAAATGATATACTCAGCGAAACGGGCCTGCCCATTGGCACTGTGGCCGCCCAGCGCAAGTCGCTGGAGAATAAGAACCTCGATCTGAGCAAGCTGCCCGGCGGTGCCAAGCAGCAGGGCAACACGATCATAACAACAACAACAGCCACAAGCAACAGCAGCAGCAACAACACTTCAGCATCTGCGTACGCGGAGCTGCGCAAGAGTCTGGACAATATGGATGAGAAGATCAAGTCACCCACACCCCCTGTGGTGGGCAAAAAGCCCAGTGTGCCGCTCAAGAAGACGCCCACGGGCAGTGTCTCAGGTAAGTTGTGAATTCGATAGAAATGAAATAACTCAAAGAGCAATCTCTGCGGCAAAAGTGCGGTAAATGCAAGGCTTCAGTTGGGAGTTCTTGAAGTTCTTCTGCAAAGTAGTTGGTGGTCAAGTGTGAAGGATTTCGAGTTCAAGAATTTAAGCATGTTGAATAAATTAAATACCTTTGTAAGGACCGCGAGAAGCACAGACAATAGGAAGGCATTGTGGAAGGAAGATAAGTTGTCAGGAATATACTTAGTATAGGTGGTAAAAGTTCTAGATGTTGTAGGTGTTGTACTTAGAGTAGAAAGGAATTAAAGGAAATCTTAACGCAAGTTGTAAAATACATATTGTAAGTAGAAGCAGTAGAGTATGAAATAAGTAATACGAGAAGTGGCAGTAGAAGTCGCTGAAGAAGTAGTAAATAATATAGAATTACAAGTATATGTCGTAAACGAATAAGTAGAAGATATGGTAAAAGTATAAATAGTAGTATAAGTATAGAAAGCCAAATGCTTTATGGAAGTACTAAGACGCCAAAACTAGTAGTAAAGTTTTTTTTTTTTTAGTATAGTAGAAGCCGTAGAAGCTTTGGAAGAAATAAGAATAGCAGTTAAAGTTGTTGAATAAGTAGGAGAAGTAGGAAAAGTCATAGAATTAGTAGAATAAGTCGTATAAGAAGTAGTAGAAGATATAGTAGAACAAGCACAAGTCGAAGAGTTAGCGGAAGTACTAAAAGTCAAGAGATAGTAGTGAATATACAATTTTAAAGAATAAGCTGTAAAATAACTTTCGAAATAAGGAAAGTAGTAGAAGACTTAGAAGATATAGTGTATAATATTGTTCGAAGTCGTAGATGAAGTAAAAGATTTAGTAAAAGTAAGTCCAAGAAGAAGTAGTAAAATATGTAGTAAAAGTAAAAGAAGCAATAACAAATAAAAAGTCGTAGAAGAAGTAATATTAGATATACTAACAGTAGAAGATGAAAGTAGTAGAGTAAGCCAGAGACGTTGTGGAAGTTCTGAAAGACGAAAGAAAGTAATAAAATAATTTGTTTAGGAAGAAGCTTTAGAAGTTTTGGTTATCATAGCCTTAGTAGTATAAGCCGAAGAAGAAGAAGGAGAAGATAGAGTGGAAGTATTAGTAGTATAAGAACAATTCGGAGAATTAACGGAAGTACTAAAGGTCAAAAAAGCAATAATCAGTGAGAGCAAAATTAGTAAAGATGTTTTCGACGTCGTAGATGAAGTAAAAGAGGACGTACTAAAGTAAGTCATAGAAGAAATAAAGTATGCAGCAAAAGTAAAAGATGCAATTAAAGAAAAATTACATCATTTGTCGCAGAAGAAGTCGTAGATTTAGAAGAATTAATAGAAGCAAGCCTGCAAAACGAGTTTAAGTCGATCTCTAGTTCAAACCCGAAACTGTTAAATTTAAATAAAGTTGCATTCTTTTTGATTTATTTCATTTGCTTGATTCCATTAAAAGTTTAATCCAATTAATAGACATTGTTTTCAACTACATTTCCAGGCAACATTTTGGGCGCCGGCATGAAGAAGAAGAGCGCGGAGAGCAAACTAACTAGCGCCGTGTCGCACGACGTCTCCGATGGTTTGGCCGGCAGTAAATTATCAGGCGGACAGCTGCCCGAGTCGGGCGCGGCTGGCAATGTGGTCATGAGACGCGCCGCTACCATAGCCGTTGAGGATACGGACTTTGATCGTGTCGAGCGCGGCTCCATACTGCAAGATATGCGCGCCGGTCGCGTCAAGGCGCCCAAACGTCGCCCGCCCTCGGCGGCCATAAATGTGCTGGGCGAGAGCAACAACAATTCGGTGTATGTCAATGGAAGCGGCATGGCCAGCAGTGCCAGCGAGCTAAGTGAAGATGGTGGCCCTGCTGGCAAGCAGGCGGCGACGGGCTCATCCGATGACAATTCGACCGGCGAGGAGCCGCAGTTGGCCAAGCCAAAGCCACGTGAATGGGAAAAGAAAAAGGCGCCTTGGATGGAGGAGCTGAAAGCGTCGCAGGTGACACGCAAAAAGACCTCGCCCAATGTTGAGCCACGCGGCGGTGCCATCTCCGTGGCTGAGCGCACTTCAAAGCTGTTTGCCGCCGAGCAGGCGACGGCCACAACCAGCGCGGTGACCACCAGCGCAATCAGCAGCAGCAGCAACACTATAACCAGCAGCAGTGCGACTGCAACGAAAGTGCAATCGAGTGCGGTGACTTCCTCCAGCATCATGCAGCAGTCCATGTTCGTGGAGAGCAGCACCAGCAGCAGCAGCAGCAGCCAGAAGATGGAGGCAGCCAACAGCAGCAGCAACAGCAGCACAAGCATTTTGACCAGCAGCAACAACAGCCACGATGCCGTCATGTCCAAGAGCATATCAGCGACAAAGACTCCAGCCACAGCAGCGCCAATAGCCGCTCCAGCTGCCAGCAGTGATGAGGAGTCACGTCACGCGGCACGGCCCAACAGTTTATCGATACGCAATCGCAGCGTTTCGCCGCTGGTGAAAACCTCCAGTGCCAGCAGCAGCACACAGCCGGAGAGGAGCAACAATGTCAGCGTCAATGAGAGTCCGGCGACAACGCTGCTCAACAATCATCATCAGGGCGCGGCAGAGCCTTTGCCGCGGGTGCAACAGCTGGAGGGTCGTGTGGATAAGCTGGAGGCGATCGTGCTGAAGCAGCAGCGGACCATTGAGGAGCTGGTGCGTTTGCTGCGCGAGGAGACGGAGCGGGTGAAGGTGCTGCGCGGCGAACTGGATAAATATGCGCAGTGCGTGACGCAAGTTTGAAGCAGCTTGGAGTTCCTAAAATCGGAATTCAAACCAAGATCTGCCCTCATTGTCGTGCCTGCACCCTGATTGTTGTTGTTTTGTTGGCCCCGCTTAGCTGTGTGCGTTTGCTTTAGAGATTTTTGTAGTTAAAATCCATTTTTAGCTAGCTTTAATCTATGTTTTGTTTTTCCATTCCAAATAGAAATCTAAATGGAACATTTAATTATCGTTTTTACATTCCAATGCTTGTCAAACTGTATCCAAGACAATCCCAACATTGAAGCGTATAAAACGCAACTTGTACTTATCAGCCGAAATTCAAGTTCAATCCCAGCCAGTTTATAGCGAGCTGCCTTTTATTCATATATTCTCTATATACTATATATGCATATGTAAAACTGTATAATTATGTTATTTTTTGATAATTTTGCCATTTTGTTTTACAACTCCAAAATTTGGTATAAATTGCATGCAGTAACTGTTTCAGTTCCGATACGAGTATATATCTATATATCTACATCTATTTTTTGATAAGTATTTTTACAATATTCTAAAAACTTTGTGGGCATTGTGTGATTTTTTAAAATGAGCTGCGCTTTAGCATAAGCATATCCCAATTACAGTTTGTTTTGTTCATATGATTATGATTATTTTTATGATGTATTAAAGTTATGAAACATGTACTATAAATACTAAAAGAAAGATTTACAAACACATATATATAAATAATAAAGTTCGATGAAGATGCCTAAACATTAAGTAATCAAAATAAATAATTAAATTTAAATGTTTCAATGTCTGTTTTTTGTTTTTTTAGCAATTGCCATCATATCATCCAGTCAATTAAACAATTCATATCAAAAGAAAAACGTTGCAATTTAGACTTCTAACATATATCTGTAGATATGTAGTTGCATTATAGCGTAGTTGCCTTAGTGACAATGCATATAACAAAAAACCTTCTAATTAATGGCTTAATATTTATTTTTCTAAACAGACAACAAACACGTCGCGGGAAATTTGATAATTGGATGTTCTGAAGCAAGAAATTCAACACTAGCCAGTTTTTAATGTACAGCAATTCCTTTTTTATTTTGTGATAAGCTTACTAATATTTAAATATTGTGCATTTGGAACGTTAAATCATTTAAAAAACAAAATACGGCTAGCTAGGCAATAAGAGTAAACATAAATCCCTAAAACCCAATTATTAGCAAAATGTTGCAATTTATTTTGATAATATCACGTTTAATATTGCTTGTAAATACTGTAAATGGATATATGGCTTGATAATAAATAATAATAATACATTTTAGAGTAATTTATAGTATAACGTAGTATAGGGTATAATAGGATCAAATAAGGGCAAATTATTATTTCAAATTTTTAAATTTATATTTTCGTTAGATAATGTGGTGGTGGTCGATAAATTATCAGTTTGCTTTCGCAGCTAACTTAACGCTTCTCAACTTTGCGTTTGCCACCAACTTCACGTGATGCAAAGTTTATTTAACAGTGTTATGTTAAGTGAGCTAATAGAGGTGTAAGCTTGTTTTAGCTTTATGCGCTCGTAAATGCAGTTGCTATCAACAGCAGCTCACGAACATTGAAAGTCTCGCCCCGATGACCGTTGGTCGAGCACGAAGCTCACGAGAAGCCGACTCTTTGACAGTGGAACGATCTGTCCGTTCTTTCTGAGCTGAAGCTTGTGGGCTGCTTTGATGTTGATCCGTAAAAGCTGTTGTTACTGTGGTTGTTGTTGTGCTTGTTCAACGCCAGTAAATCTAAGCTAATCAGCATGTTGGACTGTGGTTTGTTGTTGAAATTGTTTGGTTAGAAAATATTAATAGGCGTGTAGTTCATATTAAGGTGGCAGCCATATGTTCATTTATTTGAAATAGATTTTATATAAGTTGAATGAGGGTCTTCAGTCAATATTAAGAATACGGTTGAATTATTTTTATAAGTTTAACTGATTCCTTTTTTGTATTTGATTGGTACTTGGTAATAGGGAAAATATAAATTGTACTTAAAACAGTAAACGCTTTCCTAAGGGGTATGTTCGCTTTAATTGTGAAATTCCCCCAGGGAAGCTGGCCGTTAGTAGAGCTGTTACTCTAAATACTAACATAAGTTATATTAAGCTATAGATACTATCATTTAAATAATTTAGTTTTGATAATGCCTTACAAATTTGCACCAATTCTTGTGAACCTGCGTCACTGTGCGCTGCCTGCCAGCCTGTGAATGTACGTATGTGTGTGTGTGTGTGCTTGCACGTGCGCTTGTATGTGTTTGTACTTGTGCTTTTGCCTTTCTTGTGCGCTGTTGTTGCTGTTGCTGTTGTTGCCTTGGCACTTGGCGGCTGCGACTGGCTCTGTCTCTGGCTCTGCCTCAGTCTCTGGCTTACTGAGCTTTTGCCAGCCTTCTTGGGCGCTAGCCAGCAGCAAGCACTTATCAGTTTTCTGATCGCTGTGGGAATTCAGTTAATTGTGGACGCTGTAGCCAAACGGACGCACGGCACAACCTGCACAAAAATACATTTCAAATTCGATTCTCGAACATAATTTGTTGTTGCCGCTGCTCGTTTGTCTCGTGAAAGTCATTTGCCAGGCACTGCGACTGCCACTGGCCTTAAGACAAGAAGTTTTTCTTAAGCATTTGTTAGCCCCTAGCACAGCTGAAAACATATTTAAGGACCGTACCAAAAGTTATCAAAAATATTTTGTATACGCAACGTTGGCCCCAAATAGCAACGCGACAAATCATAAAACAAATTACATTAAATGCAAGCATTTCGACAAAGTCAGTTAAATATATAGTTTTCAGAGTGTGTGAGTGCGGCTTAGATAAAAAAAAGAAATAAATAAATATATAAACAGTATAAATAAATAACAACGAACTGTAAATCCAAAACTGGTAGAATGAAGAAGGAATTAATTTAAAATTAAAACGAACACATTTTAAAGCCATAAACAAATCGTCATTAAAATTCGTGCACATATAGCGCGCGCCAATATTGCTCCAATTCGGCAAACGGCTTAGCAACAAATGCACTGAACAACAACAACAACAACAACGATAATACCAATAACAACAACAACAACAAGAAAAACAATACACGGCTCGCAATATAGAAAGCAAACAATCAAATACAAATAATCAACTTCAATAGCGACAACAACAACAACAACAACAACAAACAACGCCAACAACTACAACACGGGATTAAGATCCAGCTACAACAACTACAACAGCAACAACTACAACGAGAACAACAACAAATGTGGTGGGTGCATTGGTAAGCTCAGCGGGTAAAAAAAAGTAACGGTTAATACATAAAAAAAAAACAAAATCGCTGAAATTGGCCAAAACGTTTTTCTTATATTTTTTTTATGCGCAAACGCGTTTTTATGCTTAGCATTTTTTTGGCTTAAAGTTTTTTGCTGCTTGTACTCGAAGTTTTTGTTTTTTTTTTTTGCCAAGTTTTAATTTTTGCTGCCTTGCTCAACGCTGTTTGTTTTTGTTGCTCTCGTACATTTTTTGACGGCTATAAAGTGGATTTGTCTTCAATTGTGTTTAGAAATCTGCACGGCCCAAGCCAAATCCAAAGCCTAAGCCAGAGCTCAAGCCAAAGTCAGAGTCAGAGCCAGAGCCAAAGAGACTGCAACTGCTCTGAAAATATGTCGGCCAAAAAGGTGCAGAAAAACAGGCATTCAAAAAACAGAAAAAAAAAACTAAATAAATAGCCAGTGGTTAGCGTCAAGGTCACCGATGAAAGTGTATGTGTGTTTGTGTGTGTTTATGTGTATGTGTATGTGTATGTGTGTTGCTGCTGCTGTGCCTTACAGTTAGCCTTTGTGGCATGCATTAGCCATTGAAATCGATTGAAAATGCTTTTTTTCTTTTTCTTTTTGACGCTTTTGTCTCCTGTTTGATTGACGGGCGTGTAGATCAATTTTGATTGAGCAGATGTTTATCGCACGGTCTCTCATAGATTGCCGCAATGTCCGGCCGTTATTTGAATGTACTTTATGGACAAATGAGCTCTCACGCAGGGCTTGTCAAATTGTGCGACGTGCAACTATAATTTAGTAATTTGCCCCAGCTAGATGCAGCTGTTATTTTGACGTCCCAATCTATTACCAACTTGTTTGTCGTAATTAACGGCTTCATGTAATTGAGTATTGGCCTCTGCCTGTGTGTGTGTGTGTGCCTGTCTATTTATGGGGCTTATATCTAGGGCTAAAGTTTTGTAAGTCAGTATTTCTTTTGTCTAGTTTGCATTTTATTCATGGTACATAGCCAAATGAATTAAGCTGCTTTTAATTTAAAATTGTAACGACTTAAAGCTACGTTTTTTTTCTGATTTTCTATCTCCCTTTTTAATTAGGCGTCATATTTAGTTTTCTATTGGTTTCTTGCACATTTAATATTGGCTTTGACTAGTTTTTCTTTTTTGCTAGTTATGAATTGTTATTGCTTCTTGCTTTGTGAAAAGAAGAAGCAAACATAAAAGTGAAACTTCTTGCTGAATTTGAGCCGGCGACCTGCTGCTGGTAAGTCAGACCCATCGACCCCTAGGCCAAGAAGCTTGTTGGCTTTGCGCTCTTAGTTCTTCAGCAGGCAGTACATCAGAAAAATAGATCCGTTTATTTTAGCCTACTTCTTGGGTACTTATACATTTTCTCCATATTTCTATTTCAAAAGTGAAGCCCATGCTTGGCAACAATTAAACAAATTTATTAACAATTTCTGTAATTTATTTGCGGCACATTCTATGCCAAATTGCAAAACGGCAGCCCATTGCCAAACTCAACTCGTTCAACTATTTTAATACAAATTATTATTAAAAGCTTAATTGCGGTGCAGTCGGCAACGAGCCAAACATACTTCGTAATACCAACTAGATAGCAGCAGCAGCCACAGCAAAAATGCTTCGCCTGAGCTTTGGCCAAAACAATTAACGCCGCTAAGCAAAATTAACAAATTGTTTGCAGCCGTTGCCAACAACAGTGGCAAATGATAGGCAAAAAAACCTGTTGCACTATTTGTATTTTGTTTCAACTGCAATGGCAAAGTATATGACAATAATTATGATGATAAAACAAGTGCGAATGCTTAACTGTGGAGTGTTAGTCTAGCAAATGCCCTATATAAAGTCGACATCATCAGAAATCTCTAAGATAATGAGATTGTAATTCTAATCAAGAAGATGCTCAGTATAAGCTAAACAAAAGTATTTAAATTAAAAAGTTTGCAATTCTTTCACTCTCGTGTTATAATAAAAATGAAACAAATGTAGGCTATACAGAATCTATAAGTATCCACATACCAAATAAGCTTTCTAGCACTTGTAGTCTGCGAGGTAGCTGCACAGGGCTTGGCTCTGCGACTTATGTTGTCAAAGAACATAAATTTATATTAAAGATATTTCTGCAACTGTTACAAAATTTAATGACAAGCTGGCTTAGACATTTTTAATGGCAACAGGGTATGCGAGAAGTGCAATAAACTCTTAAGAAATTCCATGGAAATATAAACAACTTTATGGTCGCGGCCACTTGCTTAACTTTGCTTTACTTTTGCTTGACTATTATTTGGCAGTCTGCCTGGCTGCAAACCTGAAAAAAATACAAATAAATTCAAAAATAGCGCATGCGCCGTGTGGCCTCTCCCTTGGCTTGGCTTTGAGCCTGCCCGTCCCTCAACTCGCTGCGGTCGCCGTCAATTGTTAATGAATTGCAATCGCGCTTTTTTCTGCCTCGTCGCGTGTGATTTTGTCTTTGTTTCGAGAATGTTTGACAATTTGTCACATACTCTAACACTTGATTCCACCGGCGACCCATTTGTTACACACTTTATGTTGCGATTGCGATTGCGACTCCGATCCGATTCGATTCAATTTGATTCGATTTTATTGTGCTGTCCCATGTCGTACTTAGTAGCAATTTATTTGCCTCTGACTGTGTCTTTGCCATGCTCCTAGCTCACTTCTGGTTTTAAATCAAGTTTATTAACCGGAATTGCCAGCATTCTATTGTACCCCTAGGTTTATTGTCTATTGCTTTTCTGGGCGTATCCATAGCTATCGATTAGCATTCTAATTTATATACTAACTGCTCGAATATCGCACAATTTTGACGCCAATGGGCATGCACGAGAGTCAACCGGCCAAGTCCAAGACCAAGAACAAGACCAACACCAAGTGCCATTGCCAAGTGACATTGACATATTCTTTTACCCGCCACCAATAAAATATTAATAATTGCAACTCCATTTTGAGTGCACAATATAGTTTTTCCACTCCCACAACATTCTCAGGCCTTTGCTGACTTTTTTACTGACTTTTTCGTTTCATTTTGTTTTTTTTTTTATGCTTAAATTGACGAAATTTTTAAAATGAATACAAGTGTTTTTCTAAATACTTTCACCGGTCTCCTCAAAGACTTAACAGTCAAACCTAAAGGGATTTTAATTGAGAATAAAATTTTGTTTATAGTTTGATGTCTTACTATATTAATTTGACTTCAATTCAGATCTCTATGCCTAAAGTTTCATTTTTAGAAAACATGTCAAAAACTACAAAAAAGTAAATATATATATATTATTTACAATTTTATTTTTGGAAAATATAAATTACTCTTAGGCTCAATGTTGGTATATCGCAAAATATATTTTAGCATTTTATTGTCTGAAAACATGTTGAAAACTACAAAAAAGTAAATAAACATATACAATTTCTTATATTTTGTTTTTTTTTTTTCGGTGAAATTAAAATCGATTTTAAGCTAAATGTCAGCATGTTTAAGTATTTAAAAATATATTTCAGCATTTCATTGAAAATATCAGATCATTTCATCAGAAAACATTTTGAATATTTTGAAAAATTGACTTGAAAAGTTCGCAAGTCCTAACACTCGAAATTATGGTAACTCTTCGGAAAAATTTTGTTTTTCAATTAATAATCTTTAAATTTTTAAGAAAGGTTTTTAACATAGACATTCCGAGGGGTTATGACGAACTATTTGATTAATTCCTCAATCCTATACTTTAATTTGGTCAAAACTAAACAGATTTTTCGCGTTTTATACACAGTTTTTGTTTAACAACTAGATTTGATTTATTTATTAAAAGTGAACTCTGCATTTTCGAGAATTTTTGGATACCCATATGCACGTTCAATAGATTTACGTAAAGTTCAAACAAGTTATGCTCGAGCAAATATCGCATACATTTTTGGCCTTAACGCTAGCGAGCTTACAGCTGATGCCGAGTTTCTGTTGCTGGTTCTGTTTCTGGCTCTGATATGGGTGCAGCTCTTAACTGAACTGGCCAGTTTAATAAGTGGATACACATGTCGGAGAGTGCAGTGGAGCAGGCGCCTGGTTTCGAGATAACAACGACCTTTGTGGAATGTGATTAGCACTTTTACTTTTCCCTCTATGGTCGCTTACATAAGAAACAACAACAACAATAATAATAGCTTAAAAACTAGCTGTCAAGCTGTCAAAGATAACACAGCTCAGAAGAAATGCGTCACACGCGGATTGAGGCAAGAGTCAAGTGAAGACTAGAAGAACAAGAAAAAGTTTTCTTTTGTAAGACGAATATTAAATACTCTTGTAGGCCTAGAAGTGCTTGTTTGTAAACGTTTTATTTCCGTCCAATTTTTGTAATACAGTAGCCCGATTAGCAGATTTACTAGGCGAAGAATTAAAATCTTAAATGCAAAACCTAGTCAAAAAATTGCTTAAACAAAAACTCACACATTGGCCTATTCTTTCTATATAGATTTAATATATTGCATTTCGCTATTGATATATAACTTTATTATATAGCTTTTATATAGGGCAGCTGTGTAATATATAAGTGCGATTCAGACTAGTCCAACATAGCTTAATCCTCTAGGAATCAAAGATCTGCGCGTCACAATCTTGGTAGGCAATTTATAGTACTCTGCACAAGGGTATAATGAGACTAAGAAGCAGAAGCAGAATCTTATAGATAGTGTATAAAAAGGAATTTCCATAACTAACAGTTGGCCGTGTCTAATTAATGAGCCAAGTTTAGACATTTTTTTGTTAGTCAAGAAACTTTCATTTTTAACGAGCCAAATTCTGGCCATAAACATATTGCTTTGTTTTGCACACACACATTCCTGGATAATTAAAAGCCATTGAACGCTCTGCGGCCCAAAGCTGCGACTATGAGTAATTATATGGCCCGTGAAGACGGCTTGATAAGAATTAGAACTGGTTTTACGATGCTGGCCAACTGGCTAGCATTTCGGCCTGTGTCTTGCTTCTGTTGCTGCTGTTTTTTCTACATTTTTTAAGCCAATAACTATTTTTAGTTCTTTTTTGCAAAACTCTTGTAAAGGGTATCATAAGTTTGCCAGTCGATATAGTCATGGTCAAGAGGAATCGATCGAAAATTAGTTTTTTTCCGTTTTTCAAGATATTTGGAATAATCTTGGCATAAGCGAGCTTCACTATGCTACAAATATGTCCCTATGCGCACAAGAGTATTTAGTCTTCGGTTTGCCAAAGAAAGCCATTTATTCTTGTGTATTCGCTGTGAGCTGAAGCCACATTTGACTTGGCTCTGAGTTTACGGCTTAATTACGGACTTGGCTTAGCGGAAATGCCTGATATTGTGCTGCGCGCTAATTACTTAGAAGCTTTAATTAAATTAAGCTAAGATTGAGGCATAAAGGGCGCCAATTGGCAATAAAAATCAACTAAAGGCTAATGTGCGCCGGCGGCAATCCGAGTATGCTAACGATTTGGCCAACTTGGCTCAGACACACAATGCACAGGCCCAGCCAGGCCTCAATGACATGCCAATTGTTGTGGCTATCAAAATATTTGTCATTAATTATAAATATGTTGAAATTGCTTAAGAAAAAACAGCTTAGCATCTGCCCGGTCTTGGGCTTGGGCTGGGGCTGGGGCTGCCTGCGGCTGCGGCTGCGACTGGAACTGCTGCAACTTGTTGCGACTTGTTGTGGCAAATGCTGCCCCGCCGCAGCCAAACAGCCGCTGCGCCAGACAAGTTCAATGATTCTTCTAGCCGTGACTCAATCGCATTTGGCAACTTTTAAAAATGAGCTGCAAATGTTTAAATATTTCTGTCTGTTTTGCTGTTTTGCTTGCTCCCCGCTCGCTCTGCGCAAGTGTGAAATGCACCTTGACATTTGAGTATGTATCTTCTACAGCCTCTTCTTCATCGTTTTACCCCCTCTCTGCATATTTTTAACCGCTTATTGATTACCGATCGCAATGAATTTGTTTTGGCTTTGCTAATGCTAATGCCAGGCAATGGCTTTTGTAAATTATGCATCATTTTGCAATTTTGATGTTCACCTGAGCGATGATTGTCACGGCGACAAGACCCCAGCCGACAATCATTTCGATGTTCTGGCCTCACGCGCCCATTTAACCATTTATGCATATTATACAGTCTGGATTAATGGCTGGAAGCGAACAGCATTCCATTTTGAATACTCTGGTTCGAGCCTTGGTTTCTCGCAAGTCTTTTTAAGTTTCAATAGACAAATTCTATTTATTATAAAGTAAATTATAATGTTTTATACATAGATTTATTTTATATTAATGCTTTGGTGCATTTTTTGAGTACTTAACTAATGTCAAAAGCCTAAAATGTTTGAAATATTATTTTAAAAAGGCTAAAAGAATTCTTGTTGTGAACCCAACGATTTTATACAATTAATTTTTGAAAATAAGTCCACTACTTCATAATAAATAAACTAATAGATAGGTCTATTACTATTAGATAATACATTTCGGGTTTAAACTGGTTCGGTTCAAACCCGGCCTTGATTTCGAATAATACTCGATATCTATTCATAAGTCTAACTTGGAATGTGAACTGCTGTTTTATTTTACATTTTTCCTAATACCATAAATATATACGTCCCTCAGTTAGTTAGTTACTTATATAAACGAAATGTTTCATCTATGCTAAAAAAAAGTATCTTTAGTTATAGATACATGCATTATGCTTAAATTTAACAGAATGTATTTTGTAAATGTATGCACAAGTATATAAAATATATAATATAAATAAATGCATTTTTTTTATACAAATACTTTTGATATTGTCTAAGGTATCACCTAGTCGTGCAGCTTCGCGTGGCTATGCCAAAAACCCCCTTAAAAGTTTTAAATTGTCTTTTCTTTGGAATGAACGCACTGCTTAATTACTCGCTTCTTCTGTTCTTTAATTTCAGTGATTAACAAGTCACATCATCAAATATCTTCACACAGACACACACACACACACACACTGCCAGACGCACACACAGCTATCGGCACAACAACACACAAAGCGGAAAGACGGTGACCCTGGAGCATGTCATCCATTTTCAGCATGATTCAACTGCAGACAAGACAAACGGCCAAATGAATCACTTGTCGCGCAAAGAAAGTGTGCTTCATTAAGAAGTCGACAAGACCAAGAGTCGAAATTAAAGTGCCTGATTAAAACAATAAATTGGAGCCTTTACCAGCTCCCCAGCTGACGGAGTCAAAGCGAATGCAACTACACAAAATTAAGAACGGCATGGCACACTTTTGCTGGTATCATAAATTGGTATTCCTGCTGTTGGTAAGTGTTTTTTTAAAGTTGGCTTGAATGTTTCTAGAAGAAGCTTATAATATTAGCCTGCATCTATATGATATATATATATACTATGTTAGGCGTTGAAACGATCAGGGCCGCAAACATGAAATAAAAACTGTCGCTGGTTTGGTTCACGACTTTAACGATTCGTCCTGCTCGAAGCCAGGTTTTATGTTCTAATTATACCCTGAACCCGTAAAAAAGGACTTAAAACTTTTACAGCATCTCATATCATTCTCACCACGAGACTTAAGTGAGCGGAACACGTTAATTCTAACTTTTGATTCTATATTCTGTAGAAGTGGATGAATTTTTTAAGCTTGAAGCAAAAACTTCGACTGGGCAAGACCCGGTCTACCAGCTAGTATTATCATATACAAGATGCGGGCATTATTTAATCTCTACCTTAATTTCATACTCAATATGATTAAATAAATTCCTAGTTGGGGCTTTCGTTGTTTAATGTTTCGATTGGCTCTTTCTCAAAATGATCTTGTTTCTGCAGCTGAATTTAAGGGCATCAACACAGATCAACTCCACCTAAACATGCTCAACGTAATGCATATAAATATCAATTAATTAAGGGTACATCCAGTATTTGCCATAGATCGTTATACCCATTAAGAGAAGATATATGGAGCTGCTGTTAGCTGGCAAGCCAACTAGTTTCACAGCTTCACATATTTAACCCATGCAATGTCTACACGATTCTCGACATTGAACTTTAGAGATGGATGTGGAATGCGAGCTGTTGTCTGATTGTGTGGCATGATTTATTACGCACATGGGGCAAATATGTATTTATGCGGGAGCACACACACACACATAATCGGTTGCACAGAGCGCAACAAATCGATTGGTGTTGGCCAACCCTTTGAGTTAACATTCAGTTGGCCATTTGGCTTAGCCATGCCAGTCCCGTTGTACTACTTGCAGTTGCAGTTGCACATGAGCTCAATTACCCACTTGGCCAATGCTTTTGGATCGGCTAGAGTAATAAATGGACTAATTGCTAGTCATAATGGTGTCTATATTCAGTCTGGCTTGTGCATTTATTGGCCCAAATCATCTGCAATGCGAATGCATTTTATTATTATTTATTTTTGTTGGTTAATGCTAATGTCTGTTGTGGCTGCAATGGACTCTTTATTGACTGCGCTCGCTGGACACAGACACAGCTGATTGTCTGTAATGTAAAGCGGCCCAAAGTAAACTCAACTGCGGCAAAAGCCAGGCTAAATAATTGCACGCGATTTGAGCGCGGTTATGCGAAACTGAAACTCAAAACTGAAAACTAAAACGGCAACTGGCGAGCTGCAGTCGCAGTCGCAGTCGCAGTTGCAGTTGGAGTTGCAGTCGATGACGCTGGCAATTTGCAAATTATGCGCAGCGGGCGGGACGTTGATTGAGGAGGCGGCGTAGTGGGGCGCGGTGCAACGTCGCGTGGTGCAACAACATTCTAAAGCCAGCGTCAGCTTTTCTTTCATGCAAGTAGTGCGAGTGTGTGTGAGTGTGTGTGTGTGTGATATGCATTTGACGATTAGCAAGCAAATATATGGAACAGTGTAGCCTAGTTTTGTTGTGCTGTGTAATTAATAAATGTGTGTTATTATGACAGAGACAAGCTGAGCACAAGCGGAGCGCTGCAATTGGGCTGGATGGCATTGAGCGCCCTTATGTGGGGCCGAAGATCGACGGCTCGATACTGGCAAGTCATGAGATGCCAGGCTGCAAGTGGCTGCAGTGGCAAGCGGCAAGTGGCAAGTTGCACATACAACAGCTAAGCGGCAGCGGGTGGTTGGCTGCAATTAAACAATGGCCGCTTGGCAACAGACACAGACCCCAGCTGACACATTCACATTGTGGCAACTGTGTTGCTGCTGCTGCTGCTGCTGCTGCTACTGCTGCTCCTTTCAACGCTGCAACGCCCACTACAAATGCCGCTGGCCACAAGCGCTACGGCCACACCATAAAATGCATGCGGACAGGCCAATTCTTGTTGCATTGCCTGTTTTAACCAGACGAATTTTGATAAAAACAGAAAAAATATATATGTAAAAAGTTTTCATTATTATAGCCTGGCGACTTTTTCCGTGTTTTGGGCTTTATGCAAATCTTTAAGCGCACTGTGTGTGGCTAGTTCGTGTCTTGAGTCATTCGTTTTTTATGCAACCAAATCCCGTTTTCAGCGCTCCATCAATCATGTGGAGACGCCTAATTGATTAGCAGCTGTTGCTCCGCAGCTCCAATGAGTGACTTTTAATGTTTGCACTTCCGAAATTTGCATACAAAGTCGAAAATAAAACGGATGAATTTGAAATCGAAACTGAAACTCAAATTGAAAGCGAATCGTAATTGAATTTGACAACCTATTTTTCTTTTGAAGAGGGGGCGCAGCTGGGCCATACAAGCCAACTCATAAAAGAACTTGTTCGCCTCATTTTTTTTAATTATTTTTCGATGGATGCTTGTGGCTAATTAAATTGGAAGTTTTTGAAGCGGCACTTGAAAGCCAATTGAGCTGCCGTACGCCAGCTTAAAGCTGGAGTACACTGAGAGCGTTCATTAAGACGGTGATTATTGCTTAATTGTTCGATACATAACAACAGGTCTATTGACTATTGGCTAAGGCGGATATCTCATTGAGTTCCACCGACAACTGGCAGCGATACGTAGAAGCGTTTAGAATTTCAAAAGATCATTTTAAGCGCCCATTTTGATAAGTCGCCAATGTGGCACTTTGACACTTCCGCTAAGTTGACAGCCGTGAAAATTGTCAACGCTGTTGTGAGAGGCCCAACAATTGAATGATAAATGATAAACGCTAGCCGATAACTGGCCAGCTAAGTGCAAAAGAATGTCTAACAGGATTAGCATTTTGCCAACTGTCCGACCAAATCAGAGCCCTGATAAATCAATCAAGATTAATGCTCAATCATTTAGCCCAATCTATTTTTGGTGCGAACGCATTTCATTCATTAAACTCGCAACGGCACTGACCACTCGGTTCAAGTAACTCGCCACAATGGAAAGGAATGCCACAGCGCAACACAAAGTGGTCACTTTTAGTAATATGCCTTTTTTTTAGAACGTTTTTGGTGTCCAATTCGGTTGAGCAAATATTAGGTGACACTGCGCTGAGGGAGCCCTTTTGGGCCCATTGTTCTAAGCTGCGCTCGCATTGTTATTAACTTTCAGCGATTTGTGTGTCAATGTTAAATGCTCATTCACTGCCCGCAGCAGCAGTTACTTCTGCAATTTTAGACATAAAAGGCAAGGCGAGCCGCCTCACTGGTGACTAACTCGCAACTGGCAATCGGGTAACTGGGTAACTACCAACTGCCGACTGCCAACTGGCAACTGGCAACTGGCCAGTCGCCCATTTGCTGCCTGCGCCTGTTTACACTGTAATTTTAGCACATGTGCGAAGGTGTTTTGCTTGCTTTAATGCTGCCTGCCAACAATTGTTAGATTGAATCGCTTAAATATGATCTAGAAATGTTTAGTCTTAAGCCACAACAACACCAGCAACGGCAGGCGACAGTCGCCTAGCGTTTAGCGCCCACTCAATTCCATTTGTTGTTGTTTTTGTTGTTGTTGTTGTTATTATTGCACATCGCTGCGCTGTCAAGCTGTTTGCATTATGCTCGAAAAGCTGCCGGATGTTGTTGTGGTTGTTGTTGTCATTGTTCATATATATATACACATTTTTTATATAATAATTATGTTATTATTCTATAAATTGTTGATCATGCAAAAAAATATACATATAATTGAATTAATTTTTTTTTTTTGTTATATTTATTGCTTTTTCAATTTACGCCTTTCCAATCGCATTTGATTTTATGACCCAGAGCTTTATGCGATTTATCGCGATTACAATTAGTTATGCTGATTTTGCCAAATGCAATAAATATGTTTTATACGCCATTTGTGTGTTGACGACTGTTGCAGGGCAAGTTCGTGTCCTAAGTCTTTTGTTTTTGTGGGACGTTCAACGTCAATGTGGGGCGGCATTTTGTGCTGCATTGATTTGATTTATGCCTATTTTGAACTGAACACCTAGTTCAAGCACATTATATGCATTAGCATAGGCGAGTTCATTGCAACAGAAAGCAACAGCGCGGGTAAAGGGAAGGTCAACGCTGAATTGTTAACAGCTAATGGCTATGACCTAATTACAGATCTTTGCAAATCTAGCACAAAAGTTTTGTATTTGGTTGAGATCCTTAAGAAACAGTCATGTTGAAATGCAGCTGTTGCTCATATTCTTGACCTTTGTTTTGCTTAGTTTTTTCCAAATAATCATCGTCTCATTTCAAAATGAAAGCTGACTTCTGGTTAACGAAATGAGACACTGAAAATGATTCATAATTTTGTTATAATTAGTTTAATTTTTAGTGAATTTATTTTATTCACAGAATTAGCTGAGTTGAGATTGTTTTAATTAGCATTGGTTTAAAGAAAGTAAACTAGTTTAGCTACTGCCGCAGTTTTTATAGTTTTTGCTTAAGATTCCGTTGATTTTTGATAAGATCGGTTTGTATACCCTTGTAGAGGGTACTATAATTTTGTCATGAAATGAGTAATGCATAGAGCTCATATATATATTCTATAAATATATATCATATATATATATTCCAGATCAGCATCAACAGCCATGTTCGTCTGTCTGTTTTTTGTGAACAAGTCTCTCAGTTTTTAATCTATCGTCTTAGAACTTTGCACAGGTTCGTCTTTCTGTTGCAGTCAGTATATATGGCGGAACCGGCCGGATCGGACCACTATATCGCAAAGATGTCATAGGAACGATGGCTCGAAAATTAGGTTCTTATATGGAAAACATGTTGACCAAACTCGGCATTTACTATTTATACTATGCTACCTTTATATGAGTCAAGATCGCAATACTGTATTATGCAGCTTTATGGAAAAAATCGTTAGAAAAATGAGTTTTTGTATGGCAAAATGTGTAGTTTTCCATGACATTTTCAGCAAACTTAACACCTACGATCTTTACTATTACTCACATATATGCAAAGTCGTAAGGAAAATTTCTACTAGGGTATAAAATGAAATTTTAAATCTTCAGCGTGCCGAAGATATACTTTCTCGCTTTGAATGAGTCGAAAAGTACTGCGAGTTATTTCTAGCTGTAACTGATGCAATGCCAGAGAATGTGTGAATAGAGTAACCTAAAGATAAACTGAATCTAAAGATAAACAAAGTCGATCTATCAAAGAGAATATCCAATGAAAAATGCCTAGAGCTGCCTTTTAAGCAGCCGTTAATCCAAAGATACTCTCGATTAATATGAGATAAATATCGCTTAGATCTGAAAGCGATAGGCAAAATGAGGGTAATTCATTTGCATAAAGTCTTCGTTAGCTGGCAATTGCATACGCTTCAACAAGCCATTTGTCAGTTAATTATGACACCGTCCAGCTGTTTACATGCACCACAAGCCAGAAACACTTCAAACGTAGCCGCAGCATTCCATTGATGTCTTAATAAGCCCAAAGCATTATTATTCAAATGTCATAGCTGCGGAGCAAGAAGACATTTGTGGCACACATAAATGTCTCTGTGTGCGGCGAATGATGTTTTAATTACGCAAATTTATAAATAGATCGCTGAGATAAGTGTGGGGTCGGGTAACTGCATCATGCGGCAGCTGATTTGCATAAAAATCGCATTGAGGCGAAATGCGAGGCAATTGACACGAATCTAACTAAATCATTTCCATTTGTTTCTTGTTTTTTTTTTCTCTTCCCTTGCAGATGTTGTGCTGCGGCTATGCGCGGCCAGCCCCTGCACCTGTTCCCGCCCCTGCCCCTGCCCCGGCACTGGCAACGGGTCGTCAGAGTGAGCTCATTGCGGGCAATGAGTTTCTCAAGCTGTTCCTCGATCACGACGAACAGCAGCGCAGCCTGCACAGCGATGAGGAGCTCGAGGCACCCGCTGCTGGTCGCCTGAACAATGCCAGAAGCTTGGAGCACAAGACGCGCTACCGCAACGCGAGTGCGCAGCATCAGACAGATGCCGAGGGCAAGCAGGTCGTCAAGCTGGTGACCACAGGCAGCAAGATTGTCTTTCTAGAGGATGCGCCCGCAGCATCAACCAGCAAGTCAAAGTCCACCGATGAGGTCAAGGTGGTGGCTGTCAGCGTCAGCTCCTCTAGCAAGCGTGGCAGTCGCATTAGCCGCACGCAGCCGCCCGCCTTCAAGCCACCTGCCACGCAATCCCATTCCCACTCCCACTCGCACAGAAGCAGTGCGCCGAGCGCAACCGGCGTGGACTTTGTCAATCGCTCGCACAAGAGCGAACTGTCCATTGAGGAGACGGAGCCACGCCTGGCCGCCGATGTCATGGATGTGGAGAGCGACTCGTTGAACAGCGCCTCCAATATACAAAATGTTTTGGCGGCGCCATTGCTGGCGGCAGCAGCCTCCAGCCGCTCCAGTTCGATGGCGTTTCGTGGAGCTGCTGTTGCTGCTGCTGCTGCGACTGGGCGAAATGCCACTCGCATAAATCAGAGAGCCAACGATGCGGAGGCGGTGTCAGAGGCAAACACTCATGAGTCTGTTGCGGGTGATGACAAATTGCTGCCGTTCCAGACGGTGATCTATCACGACACCAAGCAGGGCCATGGACCCCAGTCAAGATCAATATCATACAGCTCCATATCGCAGAACGTGGATGATCTCCATGTGCCGGGTGGCTGGCATCAGTCGGTCGGTATCTTGGCGGAGGCACAGCGCAACGTGAGCGACAGCCTCAAGCCCATGCCACGTCTCGCCTCGGAGCCGTCCAAGTTCTATTCCGTGCCATCCAAAATGTACAGTGTGCCTTCTAAGTTCTACTCGGAGCCAGCTAAGGTCTACTCGGAGCCCGCGAAGATGTATGGCCAGCCAGAGAAGGTATATTCGGAGCCGTCCAAAGTCTATGGACAGCCGTCCAAGTTTTACTCAGAGCCAGCGAAAGTATACTCGCAGCCAGCTAAGGTCTATGGTGAGCCCGCCAAGACCTACTGGCCGCAAACTGTTACAACCGGTACCGGTGTCACTCTCGGCACGACCAGCTCGCCCACCACAACAGGCGCTACTTTGGCAGCGGCAACAACAGCAACGCCAGCAACTGTGCCAACGGGCGCTGCTCCCACCACCTTTGTGCCCTCGCGTCGGCCAGCAATTGTCTCGCGGATTGCATTCGGCGAGGCGCAGACGACAACGACAACAACAAGCAGATCCATGGAATCCCAGACGGCAACGAGCAGCACGCTGCCCACCGTTCGGCCAAGCACTTGGCACCACCATTATCACAGTGGTCATAATCATCATCTGCACCAACAACAACAACAACAACAACCGCAGCAGCACCAACAGCAGCAACAGACTGCACCGAGCGCGGGCAATTCGCAGCCGCGTCGTGTACTCTTCAATTTGGATAAATTACCTTATGATTTATTGAATGCACCGCAACCGCAGCCATCGCGCCATCTATTGGAGCCAATTTTATCAAAGAGTCCAAGCACAAGCGACTACCAGCAACAGCAACAGCAGCAGCAGCAGCAGCAACATCATCGTCCATGTTGGGAACAACAGCAACGTCAGCATTCATCACTGTCGCTTCAACATTCTAATCAAAATGCCAAAGGATTGCCCAATAGAGGTGAGTCTTGGGCCCAAGCAAATTACACTGTGCTGCAGGTTTTGCATAGCAGGGTACCAACTATTTAGTTGGGCGTTGCATTCGCTGCACTCGCTGCATGCTGGCCAAATTTATGAGTCTGTAATTAGACTAACGATTAGTTCGAGCACAGCTTAACCCCCAGCTGCAAGTCTGCAGCACAGTGTTATTATGAGAGACAACGCACGTTTAACTTGAACTTACCAAGCCTCTCTCTTACTCACCTACATATTTCTTTGTCTCCCTCTCTCTCTCTCTCTCTCTCTCTCTCTCTCTCTCTGGTAGATCTAGTCAAGTGTGTTTCCAAATTTGCACACCAACATGCATCGCCCGCAGCAGCATCCGGCATTAGCGCCTATTCATACAGTTCCAGCTCCAGCAGCTCATCATCCTCATCCTCCGCTGCTGCCGCCGCGCCAGTTGGCGATGCGCCCATATTGCCACACTTTACAACCGAACGCGCCGAGCTCTACACACCGACCCCAGAGCAGAATTACGAAATTGAAGAGTCCGTAAGTGTTATGACAAACGGACGAGCCCATGGATTGCAGGGTGTTAGCAGCAGCAGCAGCAGCGGCGGTGGCGGTGGCGGTGGCGGCGCACTGGTCACAGCCACAACACCAGCCAGTCCAGCAAGCACAACACCAGCAACAACCAATGGAGCAGCAACAACAACAACGCAACACGGTCGCAATCGCGGCATAGACCGGGGACGCGGCTCGGTGGTGTACAACGCCGACGCAAATGCCAACGACTATGATGGTGTTGGTGACGGTGGCGATGAAGATGCTGAGGGCAGGGGCAGCACAGATGAGTCAGATGAAGATAAAGTCGCCTATGTGGTGGAGGGACGCAACTATCGCAAGTATCGGGTCGAGGAGAAAACCGACGACGGCTTCATCGTTGGCGAATATGGCGTCGTGGACCACAACGATGGCAACCTAAGCGGTGTGCGTTACACCGCCGACTCGACCATTGATCGCAGCTTGATACAAAAGGCGTTGTTGACATTTCTGAAGCTCAAGTAGTTGCAGCCACAGCTGTACTGCGAGCTGACCCAGCTGCCTCAGCTGCCTCAGCTGCCTCGGTTGGCTCGGCTGCCCGGCTGCCACAGCTGCAGCGGCAATTCATTTCATACACATGTGATCCAAGTCGTATTGTAGTTAGCGTAGCTTAAATTAATATAAACTAGCCTTCATTTATACAATCACAATGACATGAGCTGACAGTTGTAATCGATAGTTGGATAATCGATTTGATGAGAATTACAGTTAGTTTGAGTGAAAGGAACATATTATTGAGCTGATTAATCTTTTAGCCATCGTAACAATCCTGACAATTTGCATGTGCTTTCACCAGTTAATCGAGCTTTCTAATATGAAACACACGCTAAAAGCCTTCATCGCCCTTACGAGTTAATCACACGTTCAGCTACAAGATTTCTACTTTGAGGCACAGGCTAAAAGCTAAAAACTTTCACCAGTCAGAATCACAATATCAGCCCTAAGTAGGACCTGCTTGCAGCTTTCATGTGCTTGCAACTGTTAGTGGAGCTTTCAGCCTTAAATATAACCGTTGTAAGCTTTTACCAGTTAAACTTTGAATGTAGCTTACATGTGCTTTCATTTTCTGTTTTAAAGAATGTTAGGGCTGGAAAAGTTGTTTAAATATAAAAGCCATGCAGCAGCTTGTGTTGAGAAGTTAAAGCTAATCACTGTCTCGCAAGATTAATCCTCTAATTGAATGCCAACTTCAGCTAGTGTCTTTGTGACATAAGTATTCATAGTTAGATTGTCAACCCACGGCCACGACTCTCTGTCCTACTTTATCCTACATTCCCCTACAGCAAGTGTGCGTGTATTTTGAGTGTGTGTGTGTGCATGCTTATGTGTCTGTAAACGAATTTGTTTTATGCTTAGTTAATGTTTTAATTAATTTATTGTAGTTGTTGGTATTATAATTTAATATAATGTAATTTAAACTTTACGCCTAAACTGAACGAACCGCAAAATTTTACCTAGCAACTTGCCATAATTTACTAAATATAACGAACGTGGCCAAGTTCTTACGATTTGGCCCAAAAGCACGTACGCACCTAAATGCATAAACTATCCTAATTAGTGCCTAAGTAACTTGCAATGTGAAAAATTACAACAAAAAAATATATAAAAATAAAAAATAAATCGAGTAAATTAATAAAGAGCACTAAACCGAAACCGCAGTCGCAGTAATAAATGGCTGCCCCGCAGCGGGGGCAGCTGCAACAAAGGGAGCAAACAGGTCCACGAAATGTAAATAGCCATTTAAAATTGATTAAAAACATGCAGCCAACGGCGATCGGTAACTGACACTCGCGACATTATCATTAAACTTTAATTGATACCAACAAGTGACAAAGGGATGATGCTCCATAACAACAGCAGCAACAAAAATTCGACCAAAAGTGCTCGACTAGCTGATACCCTGAACATTTTAGATTGTTTCCATACACACATACACAAACGCTGAGGCTGTGCTGCTAAGACCCAAATTATGAGATATGTGTTCTTGAATAACTTCGGTGTTTGTTGTCCGATCTCTATGATATTTTAGGAACATAAATATAGTAGCAGGAAATATAAAAATACAAAAGCCCAAGGCTATATACATACAAATAAGTTTCTTCCAATCAGGTGGGAACGGCAGGGTGGTCGTATCCAAAAAGTGCAATATTTATAGGATACCAAATAAATTTGTACCTATCTCTCATAATCTCCAAAATATGGTCGATAATTTGCATACCGAGATGGATATTTACTGAAAGATCGATATTTGGAAAGACCCAATTTCAAATATGAAGTATGTAGCTCCTACAGGTACTGAGATTGAAGCCTTTCGAAATACGGATGGATGGACGACCGAACCGTCAAACCGACGGGTGTTCGGTCAGACAGCGCAGATAAACTCGTCTGTTGATGCTGATCTAGAATATACTAGATGGTTCAGAAATGCATCCTTTTGCCAGTTATATACATAAGCACAAAAGCATTATACTCTCTTTATCCGACTTCAATGAGTTCAGGGTATAACAACAATGGGGCTATCAGTTGTGACAGCGAAATGCGGAAACGGCTCTGGATAAGAGAGAACCAAGTCAGGCTGAGGCTTTTATAGATGCATTTGGCCAATTAAGAGCCAGTCGAAGACGCTCGTTAACAGATCTGTTTCAATACGCCAAGCTGAGCATGCGAGTGGATAATGTTGATCATAATGATGTTGCTGGCAACGGGCTCATAAATGCAGAACAGGACCTACAACCCGCATCTGGAGCTGAAGCTGTAAATGCCAGCTGAAGGTCGCTGAACGGCCTTGCTTGCGGTCGGCCGGACACGTTTGGCGTCTGCGTGTCGTCATTTGGTTTTTATTGCCTCTGAGGGATTGGGAATTGCAAACGCAAAAAAAAAAAAGATGAAAATAAATAAAAATATTCCACTGATTGCAAGCGCCAAGCCGCAGCTATTTATAAATGTAGGCCCAAAAGACAAAACGGGGTGAGCGTAGAGCTGCTTTGGTATGTCATCTTATCGCTGGCCAGCAATCAGGCGGTGGAACTGTGGAACGGTGCCCCAGCATCGAAGACGCAATCTGTGTGAAATACTATGAATGCTGGGCCCATAAACTTGGCGAAAAGAGAATGTGCCGCACCGATTTCTGATTTTAATGCGAAAAATTGCCCGAGACAGGGGCAGACACCAGAGTAAATGTTAAGATGATGCTGCCGTGCCCTCTGCGGTCAGCTGCCTGATGGACAGCTAAAGTAACTGGTTATGGCATACTATATACCGTTGCGCGCCATCGTCTCCACTGTGTCCAACTGTGGCAATTACTGCCCATGCAGTCCCCTTCCCTCCCTGCTGCTGCGCCAGAGTAAACAGTTCTGCTGCGAAAATAATTTACAATGCAACAGAGAACATTGCCTTAAAAGCGTCTGTGGCATGATGAACGTTAAGCGAACACGCTTGCCTCGGGAATCAGGCAGGCGGGCATGGTGGCGGGGATATATATATATAAATATATGTGTATATGTCTGTGATGAATCTGAGTTTTTGGGGGCGTGCGGCAGTGCGTGTCGGCCATAAATTTGGAAAATGCACGTTTGTTGCCTGGCTCTGCCAACTGACAGGTTGAACACCGCTGGCAGCACGCCCGCACGTCCTTTTTAGTTGATTTTTAATGTGGTGGGCGTGGCGCGCGGATTGCCATTCTGACAGCTCTGTAGCCGGTGCTTGGCTTCATTAAATTTTATTTTATTTTTCTCGTCTTGAGCTGGGCACGTAGCTGCGTTTGTAGTTCATCCCGTTCCGGGACAAGTGTCCTGTTTGCATTTTAGTTAATTACGCGAAGATTTCCTGCAATTTTGATGCTCCCTTTTTTAACAGTGCTGCTCGGCTAGGTTAATTTTCATTTTTCATAATTTACGAGCACTCTTATTCAATATTCCAGTCATTGGCATGATCGATCGTGCTTTGCAAATTTACGACATGACATTATAATTGACCGATTTGTCATTATAATTAGTGGAACACGCTGTGCAGGCGTGCTCGCCGCTCTGGCCTGGCCTAGGCAAATTGCTTGTATGGGAACTCCAAAGGAAGTCCATTAATTTATGCATGTGCAGTGTTCTATTTTTAGAGAGGACTCGTTGCAGAATCATGCAAATAAGTGTTCGCAGGAATGTTATAAATTTATGTTCCCTTCCTATATGCATAACATAATTTATTATGCATTTATTAAAACTGGTTGCACATAAGTTTGTCGTACATATGAATATGTGATAAATAATCGGACTTTGCATAGGATATTTAGCGTCTTTAATTTTCAGTCGTATATCGAATTTTTATCGCAATTTGCCTTCTTTCTCGCCATACATTCTGCATGTTTATTAAGCGCCATCTATTGTTAGTTTGCTGCATTTCAATTTTAAATGCTAATTCCTGAAAGTATGCAATGTTTTTTCTTGCAACAAAATTACAGTGGCTCTAGAACTGTTAGTTTCTTTTGCAGTGGCTGCTGAACTAACTCTCTATGGTTAGGTGGGGTATTGAAGAAACGACTAAAAAGTTATATATTTTATTTAAAAAGTGTAGTAGTTTTAAAATGAAATAAAATAAACCTAAAGGAAATAATAAGTTGTTACGCACAGTAACTGTGCGAGCAGTTCACATGTTGCTCAAATACCTTCGTTCATTTTGCTAGTAGATTCTAATGAAAATGTCAGACCAGACGGCACTTAATAATCCCAGTTAAATCTAAAATCGCATTAGACGCTCTGGAAAACTCTTCGTTTTTCAGAGAAAACATAACTGAATTTTTCACATTACTTAGAAGAGGCATCGCCCACAAATCAGACCGGAAATGCGAACTAAAATTACCAAAAGTCATGAATCAAGCAAAAAGTTAATTCAAGAAAAAATTAAAGAATACATAAAGCCGCAACACGGGACACATGTGGAAACAAACAAAAAGAATGCAAATCATTGCATGTCCTCAGAGCTGGGACAGTGCAACTGCAGGCGAGTCCCGGGCCCTTCATTATGTATGTATATATGGAGCAGAACTAATTGTGGGCAAAGCAATTAGCAGGAAATATATTTAAGACTCAACACTTTACTAATCTGCAAGTGTCAAGCGGTGGAAGCCGGCAACGGCGCGTTCCCTCCGCCAGAATAACGAACCGGCAACCGCACAATCATAATGGTGGTAAAGGAGTTGACGTAGGCAGACCGTCAGACTGGTTGGCTGGCTGGCAGGCTGGCTGGCATTCAGGGTTGAAGTGTGCGTTCCAAATAAAAAACGCAGCACCAGCATAGAGCACATGGCTGGAATCAGAATTCGCTTGAACTGCAAGGGGTTGACTCAGACAGGGGAGAGGAGCAGCGACAGGGTATATACCTATAAGGTCCTGGTCGGTGCGATGACAACAGGTCTCCGTCTTTCTACAGGCACTGGCTCAACAATGTGTATTTTTTTTGGCTATCCCATTGTGTGCTACCTTTTCGCATAATGAAATATAAGTACCATAAGACGTTTGATATCAAAGGACATTCGATCGGGCATGCAACATGCGCTCATTGCTGCGCCTTTACCATTGTCTACTCGTTGTTGTTGTTGTTGTCATTTTGTTAAGCGTTTTTTTCGTATTAATGCCAAAGATTACATGTTGATCTCGCATATCTTTCATCTTGACGGTAGACGGAGCCGGGTCGTGCGTGCTTCCCACGTCGTTGACATACGATACGAGCTGAAAACTGAATTTGAAATCAAAATGCCGTCAGTCAGACATGACAATGCATTAATTAAATCAGAAACCAAGACAAATAAAATATTAATTCATAGAGCGTTCAATTTGTATTCGATAAATAAGATCTATGCCGAAATCTAGATAATGCTGTTGACAAGTTTAACATCGCTTCTCTGGTAGTCGGGAACATGATTGTCCATTGTGGCCACGCATGATGCCCAAATGCTGATAAGCCATGCCCAAGAACTGCTCCCATTCATTCATTTCATCGATCAGGCAGTTAGCGCTCTTGATGAGGGTTCATTTTGATAATTGAAACAAAAAACATATTGCGCATGCACACTCCAATTTCAAAACCATTCGAGATTGATCGCAACTCCATTCACTTGTTCGATTCAAATAGAAGCCCATAGAAATTGAAATGTCTAGCGAAAACCCTTTCATTACTTTTATATTTTGCCAGTCTGTACCTCTATCCCATTCTTCCATAACTACGCTGAAAAGAACATTTCGTGGAAGTTAATTCTCATATTTTTGCTATTTATACAAGACCCAACTGAGTTCTCAACATTTTCTGTGCGTCTTTTTGTTAGAAATCCTAGAATATCTCCCGCATGATTACATCGTTCGACTGAATCACTTGTCTAGCGCCCCCATTTATTCCCCCTTTGGGGGGCAATTCAAGTGTGGAATCAATTGTTATATAGAGCTGGCAGTTAGCAGTTAGCGCATCAGGTGCCGTCACATTATTGTCCTGGATAATGTGCCTTGAATTGGTTTGTATTCGTTATGTATTCAATTTCAATCAGCCATGTATCCTTAAGTGGAAGCTTACATTGGCATTGGCCTTCCCACGGCCAAATTAATTGTTCTGATGATGAGTATCAAAAGATGTCTAAGGGTAAGGTTAAGGTTAA